CACGCTTGCGTTGTGTGCGGGGTTGGGGGTGCCTGTGCGTGCTTGTGTGTGTGTGTGAGGTGTGCGCCGCGTGCCGTGTGTCGGTGGCCTCTCTCTCTTTTTTCGTTGCGGCTGCGTGGAGTCTTGCCTGTGCTTATTTTGTTTCTCTTTTCTCCCTCTCACTCTCCTTTTTGACTGGTGCCTGGTGCCCAGCTGCAGCTCAATTCAAGCCAAAAACAAAATACGAAGGAAACAATGCCTGCAAAGAGAGAGAGGGTGTATGCTGGTAATAGGAGGCAGCGTCCCGCATCTGATGTGCCGCAGGGAGGAGAGCGTCAGGTGATGTTGGGGTCTGATGGCAACATCCAACAACCCGCACCGCAGCACCGAAGAGTGGAGGAAACTCTGCAGCAACCAAACTGGACGCTTGCAAGCTCTATCGAGGATGTCCTTAATGTGCGTGTTGGCCAAATCAATATGATTTTGCTGAACGACTTCCTTCGGCAGTACGTTGACCCCAACAAAGCGGTGGGTGGAGACCAAAATGTGGCGATGGAGGTCTTTGTGCGTGAGCCAGACAGGTACGTTACAGAGCAGAGACTTCTTCGAGAAATTCTCAATTCACCAGGGTATCAGCTTTTTGAAGATGCACGCAAGCTCACAGAGAAAGGTGTGTTTTTTCTCAATCAATGGAAGGAATTTGGACAGAAGGATACGGTTCCCCTTCGTACAAAAGGAAGACTCGATGCAGCTCTTCAGCAGGTGGAGGAGGCAGAGGAGGCGGAGAAGGAAATACAGGAAAACGAAAAACCTCCCAGACTACCATTACCGGAGGGATTCTACGAATCCGTATTTGATGCAACGTGGAGTTGCGTCTTGGGATTTCCTGAGGACGAAGATGAATACATGGTGGTGCGAATGGAGGTGAGAGAGGGCAAACGGCCACAAGAGTTATGGAAGTACATGAGGCAGATGAATGCTTCTTTTTCAGTGAGTGGTGATGAGCAATTCCGTCCACCACGCGTAGAACTCATGATCCTTTCCTCTGAAAAGCTATGG